TATTGGAGGATGTAAGAGCAAGGGAGATCATGTAATACAATAATTGGAGACAAGGATGGGAAACGCATATGCAAGTACAAAATGAATCATTTGACTGCACTATTGGTTTAAACGGGCACATTATAATTAACGCTATGAACATGTATTAAGACAGTAATATTACATCTATGAATGTATGTGTATATATATATACTTAAACACTTGACATTTATAATATTCTTGAAATTTCGCGACTTTCGCGACAATGGGAAATCCACGAAATCTTTCAATAAGAAAATTTATTTCATGCCAGCAAATTTTTTCACAACATAACAATTCATAAAGTGCAGGAAAGGAGACACCATAAACATTCATTGTCTTTTCAATGATAAACACTTCAAATTCTGATGACATCGATCTCGATCACTAATAATTAATTCGCGCTGATCACTTATATGCCAATCGATAGCCAATTCTGGATCAAATGGATTTACACCAAATTCCACATTTGCGTTGTATATCGCCGTGCATTTGTATGTTATATGAGCTCCTTTTTCCGATAAAACCTGAGATTTAAATGCTAAATGTAAGTGTAACAAAAAGTAGTAAATGATTAGTTGCGACCAGTTACGCTTTACAAATGGCCAATACAAACAGTGCTAGGAATATGTGGAAGCGAGATCCTAAAGAACTGTTATTAGTACATTGATACGAGACCATTACTATCTGGGTATAGACTGCAAAACTTGAAATATAGAGTCTAAACAAGCAAAGACTCACATAAAATCCGTGCAAAAACCCATCTGGTATCCAGAAACCTGTTCGTGTTTCTTCATTTAGAACAACACCGTGCCACTTTCCAAAAGTTTCCGATGTTGGTCTTATATCAACAGCAACATCGTATATTTCACCACTTATAACTGATACCAGTTTACCCATTCCGGGTTGTGCATGTAAGCCACGTAAAACACCAGGTTTCGAATAGGAATGATTATCCTTAAATGGAAGAGATTAAAAAAAGTAATAGATGACTGGTAAGATGTTGAAAGAAAATATGACTCCCGGCATTACATATCTCTTCAATTAGTCATCAATTATCACGAAATATTTTGAAAATTTTCAAGGCAAGACAAAACTACCTGCTTAAATTTCTCCGTGAATCCTAATGCATCCAATTCATATTCATTATATGATTCCACGAAGTAACCACGTGTATCTGGGAAGAGTTTTGGTCGAATAAGTTTCAAACCATCAATTTGTTCGATATTTTCAATTTCTAATTCTGTTCGTTTAAGCATTTCCCTGAAGATCATCGATTGAAAAATAAATGTTGAGAGAGTTACTCGAATCTAAGCAAATTTATCAAAATGTACGAACAGAAGTACACATATGCCAAATTTATCATCAGTGATGAATTCTTGTAGCGATTGAAAAAGATTTTCCCGTCTTGATTGGATCAATCGCTCTAACTGTTTCATTTTCGTACGGAACAAATTTGACCTTATTTCCAATTTTCTAGATCATATTCTATAGTTCATCGTAATTCGAAAATTACTTCTACCACAGTTCGTACAAGCCCCTTTTAAACTACCAAATTAAAATTGGATTCGCTACGATAGTTAAAACTGTTCCAGCAGCATTTCAGGAAACGATGGTATCATATGCTTTTGTACAGCTAAAATAAGTTTTCGATAAGGAATGATAACAAATAACAAGCAAGCATGATATTAATTTCGATAAAAACCTAGAAACTGAAGAACCTCAAAGTGTCTAAAAGTTATTGCAACAGATGTGACAAGAAAATCCACTCTTTTTCCGCTTCCTTACAAATATAATAAGCAGTGATACCGCCAAATTGCAAATATAGCAATTTCAATCTAACGGCGAAACAATTTTTGCACTAGATTTAATCACTATATATTTGTGAAATAGTGTTTGAGTATATCTTTCAGTATTTATATGCACTATATAAACCTACATAAATTGCCTATATAACTGTGATACTTTCAACTATAACACTAAGATAATTTCTCATTAATTCGAGTAGTTTTGAGTAGAATAAGAATTAAGAATAATAAGCTTGGACCGATTAGTTCATGCCATTGTATTTTATTCCTTGAATCATTTATACAAAATCATCTTGATTGAAACACTTGTAGAGACTGTAAACATATTTGAAAAATAAACAGCGTAATTAATTAGTGGAATCACTTAATGCTAACCATAAATAGATTACAGATCGCTAACAGCGATCCATATTTAACGATCCTTCTCTAAAATTGATTTACGACATACTAAAAACACTTTTTAAATTGCTTTGCAAAAAAAAACACCATATAATTCACTAAACATAAAGAAATAAACACAGTTCGAAAACCCGTAAAGATAATACAATATACATTAATCAATCTACTGTTTTTAAAGAAACATAAAATGTTATCAAATAAAGCGCCTCTAAAAATCATAGTTGAAGCTTTCATCTTTTTCTTTATCCCAACTTTGTGTGGGACTTTTTCTCAGCATTTAATTTAAATATTTCATTGAAACCATATGATGTCACATGAAACTAATGTGCCTTTTCCAAATCTAGATGAACCAAGAATCTTCAACAAATCACGAAACCGTTAAAATTTTAAAACTTTACACCCAGTAATGCTGATTTAATTAAAATACAAGGGAATTAGAACAGTTTCACAAACAAATTTCGAGACATCTCCGCCTGCATGCTTTTGTTAGAAGGACTTTGACCAATATAATTAACTGTGAGTTGGTTAGAATGTTAATTAAGATCCGACCAGGACTTTACAATAGGACATCATTATCCCATCATTTTTTACCTAAATAAATGAAAATCAAAGCATTGTAAAGTGTTCAAACAGCAAAAAATATAGAATTAAATCCACCAACAAGTGATGAAAATCTTCAGAAACTGAAATATCGCCAAATAGCTTCTTATTATCGAAGTATCTTTCTCCATTGAAAACTTCTAGGAAACGAATAAAATACTCTGTTAACAAATCTCTCAATAAATAAAAATTAATTTAACTTCTACTGTTTTTATATTCACTGGACTGAAGAGGTAGAATCAATACATTTGTTGACAAAATGAAAGTTACATAAACTTCAAGAATAACTTCAATATTTTGTTAATGAAATAAGACAATGATATAAAATAATGAAGACAACTCATGAATGATGAATTATGTTTGTACAAAAAATAAGAGTTGATCAAATTTTTATGGAAACCCAGATCAGAAAAGCCAAAAGCAATTTTTACCAAAAACCGACTTCCCACACGTTTATTCTCACGTTTTTTGAACGCCGCTACTGTGATTTGAAACCACTTGTGCAAATTCGTCAATCATACAACTAAATCTTTCTTCAAACACGTTTGCTTGGGCGAAGTACGTCTTTCTAATAATTTTTTGTCATCTTCACGTTTTTTATATTCTATAATGCAAGCAGGTATACCCTTCACGGTAACTATATGCTTCTTTGCTGAAGATCTGATAATCAATGAATCACGCAACGATATTACCTGAAAAAAGATATTTTTCACAAGTATAAAATGACACAGAAAACATATTTGTGTATATGGCATGAACTTAAGTGACTCTATAGCCCACAAGCTTTTGCCTATTGAAAACCATTCTCCATAGCCAAAATCAATAATTCCTAAAATTTTCAATAATGATCTATTAACTAACCTCAAAAAGTGAAATTAAAACATACTCGTTTGCTGTTCGCTCTAGAAATGACTGTAGATTTTGTGACACCAGAACCGGATGAAGTGCTTTCTGGAGAATGTCGAGAAGTACTTGGTGAGTCAGCTGTTGGCCGTCCAACTCTTCTTCTGCAATTTGAGACTTCAATTAATAAATGAAAGATCGAAGAATTTACAGGCAACTCTCTTCTCAAAGCTAACCAGCTTCATTTCTAGTAGGATTGCTTTTGTTATTTGAGGCGACAAATCTTAGCAACAAATAATTTATGTTCTTCTCTAAAAATCGAAATGTATCCAAACTAAATAATGCAGTAAATGAACTTCGGCTTCTCGGCAAGACTTTGTTGAACAACAAAATTCTGCACAACTGTATGATGCTGCACGACATTTTGATTTAAACGTGGCTTTCTTGTCGAAGTACCCTTTCTAAAATGGTAAAATTTTCGATCAAAACTTCATTTTCGAAAAACACTTTTTTTCAAATCAATGCATTTTAATAGTATGTCTAGCACAGCTCACTATTTTGCAACTGAAGTGAGATATAGAACAGAGAGATTGAAGTTGTGATTTTTATAATGCTTTTTTTCAAACATATCTTATTGGAAACAGAAAACTATAAAAAGCGATGAGAAAACATATAGAAAGCACATCACCAAAAAATATAATTCATAATTTAGTTCAAATAAATCATTAACCTTGTATCGCACATCTCACATTTGAACGCCTCATGTCGATTTCGGAATGTACACACAGTGCACTCCCAACTTCCTGGCTCGAACCCTTCATCTTCCGCTTTTGACCGATTTCGTTTCTTTGCAGACATATATTGTTAGTTCTTCGCCATATGTCTTATCAATTCAACTACAAAACTTAAAAATTGAAACGAAAAATGGAAATAATTAATGCAAATATTTACTATAGTTGTAGATAACTCGTCAACGATGATCAGTCATTTAGTGCATAACTGGGCATATTTTGATAATATTAATCTTCCATTTTGCTCAATTAAAGCGCTGGTAGAATTCCTGACGTTCCATCTCACTAATAAATACAAAGCAAAAATGTGCGTATGGGCATCGAAATTTTATGAAATAACCTGGACAGATGTGAACAATGAGAATTCTCGCATCTCATACATAAGCAGCCAAAATCTAAGACTACACTTCCATGTCTCATCACTTAAAGGTACATTTGTCTTCTTTTTAAACCCCCTTATTCTTTAACCACCCTTATTAAATGATGAATCATAATTAGTTAATTACCAAAAAAAATCACAGCCTTATACACCGATTCTTCGCTTCCAGTAACTTCACTCTCAACATTTGAACATTCAGAAGAGCAGTTCAATTATCTCCTCCCTCCAATTTCTAAAACATCATTATCGGGTCAACCCCTTCATCCGGAAAAAAGGAAAGAAAATACGAAAGCAGAATCGCTTGCTGATATTTGATGAACCAACACATTTTTGATGTCTGCTTTGTGCAAAATGATCAGTTCACTTTCATTTCTTCGCACAGCAACATTGGAATTTTGATAAATTTAATGCCAAATGCTAAACGACCACTAAATGGCTATTCCGATAGAGTGAACAGAGATGACATCTGAAATCTTGGGTTAGCCAAGTTGTTAATTTTGACTGAATGATACTGAATGATGCATCAAATATCTTTCAGCAATTAATTGTCTTCATAAATGATGATAAACTGCTATTCATATATATCATCCGTTCTCTTTTCTTGTCAATTATAAAGAAGTCAAATCTTTAGAAATTACTATTATTTGGCTTTTCTGTGGTTGATATATCATTCGTTTTTAGTCAAAAACATATCGTCTCATTTAATCAAATATATAATATAGTAATTGCTTCTCAATGAAAGGCCATCCGATGCAAAATTTCAACAAACAATTTCGATGATGTATAAAAATTAAGCGATAGCAATCATTGTTGGCTCCCTTTCCTCTTTCTATTTACTGTTCTGCGAGTGGAGGGAATGAAATTGTATGTATTTGGTTCGTTTTTAGGCCCCTGAAAAACCGGTTTCAAAACAAACATAAAAATAGCTTTTTTGGGACAAGTAACTACAATGAATAACATGGTGAGAGCATCAGGTTTAAATTATTCCTTTTCTTGCTTTGTTCTTTGTTCTTTGAAAAAAATTGAAATGATTTCGAATACCTGTGAGTGCAAGGATGAGCAATTTCTTTATTAGAGACGACAGATTGCTATTGCTCTTACCTTTCAGGAATGATTAAGAAGTAAAGTATCGATTAAATCAATCATATCCCATTCTTCTTGACCTTTTTACACATTTTTTTTTGTTTTAGCTTCCATTGACTGCTTTCAAGATCCAATAAGCTAATAATTTTAATTGCATATCGTTAATATTAGGTGATTACATTTTTCTGCCTTTCAATCCATCGTTTATCGTTTTAAATTTCTGTGAATGAATACGATCCTTCTTATCATTCAGATGGATCAAACGTTATTTCCAACTGATTGTTTAGCTCAATGAATCTAATTGCATTAAAAAAAAGAAAATAATAATAAATATTTTTTCTTTTAGTTTTCATCGTTTATTTGTTGGTAATTTGCGAGTTTTATCTGTAATCGTATAAAAATTATCGTTGATCATCAATTTTAGCTTTCTAAATTTTGAACTTTATCCATCATTCATGTAGCAAGGACAACAGCAAACAAGAAAAGATAAACAAAGATGTGTTTATGATGGAAAATGTTTCTAAAATTTCTTTCTA